AGGCTCAAGGCCTCCACCCCTGAAGGGGGAGAACTTGAAGAAACGGAATGTGTAGTAAAGACTCTATGTAGTCAAGACTGAAGGACAGTCTTTGTAATATGTAAATAATGTAAATCGTGTATATATATAATAATGTAAATAGACAGCTAGAATAGATAGGATAGGATGTACCGGGAGTGTAATCCGTATTTTAGAATCCATTTCCCACATCCTATCCCGAGCACTCCTGACCGAGCGAGGGCCGAACTGACACAGGAGCAGTGGCAGCCGAAGACGGAGATAAGAATAGACAGGGATAGGCTCCTGCCACACAGGCAGAGTATGGTAGCCTTGACAGCAACGCCCTTTTAAGATAGAATGATAAAGTGTATTAATAAGTATTTAGACGCTACCTGTAAACTAAGGGAGGAGTGCTCGAGGAGCTATGAATATATGCCAGGGAGTAGTCCCCACAATTGAAAGAACAGAAAATAGATGGTGGCAGCTTGTATGACGAGAAGGAAACCCCGAACAGGAGAATCCTAGCTAAGGGTGAGCTAGGATGATTGTGATAACTCCTTACAGCACTCCTTACTCCACGCCCCCCTACTTGCGGCGTTACAGTGGTAGCAGAGGAGGCTGACTCCACGCCCCCCTGCACCACGACATGACAGTGGCGGTAGCGGGTGGGATACCTCCATGCCCCCCTACGCCGCCAGGGCATTACACTTGACATAGAAGAATGCAGGCTAACTTCCAGCACTCGTCAGACCCATATTGAATAGCGCCTCCGGCTGACAACTGAATATTCTCTGTTAGATCAGATACCAAGTCTCTCAAAATTCAGTAATTTATAGTTTCAATTTGCTAATTCAGCTGTTGACGACAGAGGGTAGTTAACACCTCCTTTGTGTTCTAAATTCCTAAAGTTATGCTCTAATTGGTTATTATCGGTGGTTGTGGGAGGGCCTATGGCGTCTCATCGCTGCGTAATTAATATCATCATTACTTTCAGTGGCCGAGTGAGGCAAGCTTCTTGCTAGTGCGATTACGTATGAATGCTGACCCTCAACATTCTTACCCTAGTTGCCTGTCCAGCTGTTGTCATACTCCTGTAATGGCTGTAAACACTTTTCGCAAGTCTCGAACATTTAAGGCAATACCTTAAATTTCCATTCTCAAAATTGATCCTCAACACTTCACGAAACAAACGCCTCAGAAAAATTTGATATCTTTCGAAAATATATTGCTGTACTTCAGTACATAATTCTAAACAGATCGGCGCCAGCGTCGTTTCGACCGCACATATTGGAGTGTCCCCCACGTTGTTGTTATTGAATATAAGAAATTATAAATAATTATATTGGTATGTCCTTCAATACCGTAATGTAAGTGCCAAATTTCTTGAAAATCAGTCAGTTTTTTAAACGTTGAAAGGGGGTGATACGCAAAGAGTGGTGTAAAATCATAAGATATTCTTCTCCTCGAAGAAAGAAAGGATGCTAAAAACATTAATTTCTTTGTATTTTTTCATGGCCTGCAGGAAGAAGCTATTAATGACCACGTGAATTGATTGCCGTTGTGGTCAGAAAGATTCATTCATTCATTCATTCATCAATGACTCTACAGCCCTTTGTTGGGCCCTGACCGCTTTTTCAGTTTAGTAGTCCTATACACAGTCAGTTGGACTCCGTCGCAAGGCCGCTACCTACACACAGCAGCACAAACGCAAAAATGCACACTGGGATCCATGCCTCGAGTGGGATTCGAATCCACGATTCCAGTGTTCGAGCGGGCGAAAACAGTTCTTAGCTCAGTCCGCGCGTTCGCTGTGATTGGCGGTCACGAGGATAGGCTGCGGAAATGTCTGTTAAACTTTAGAGAAGGTATATTTCCTGCCTGTTGTTAGTATTTGTTTCACAACATATATGCTGCTGCATTTATGACTCTGTTTACACACACGAGTGTCTGTAGACCTCTCTTGAGTGTAAACAGCTTTTCACGGAGATGTGAATCTTATTCATGATTATGCTTAGAATGTTCAAGATGAACTCCACTACTTACGCCTATATGAGACACGGTAATTAGGAATTCTATTAACAACTTCTCAATTCAATCTTGCATGAGAGTGAATCACACCCTAATTAATGACTGAGTTCTAGAGCTCGTGACAGGAAAACACTCTTCTTCTGCTCACACAGCTTTGTAACACGTCATGCAACATTTTAGAGATGTAAATGTTTACATGCGTTGACGTTCGTTCGGCTGGGTGGATATAAACTTCTTGTTAGAAGAGTGAAATCAGTCTCCACAGTTGTGTCATGAACAGGTTCCAAGAGGTTAGCTTACTTTTAAAACTTCCCATTCGTGTGTAGCGGGTTATCGGTTTGTGAGTCTAAGTTTCATCATGGATTTCTCATTTCCTCGAGGCGAATTATCTCACGTTCCTACACTTCCAGATAGGCCGTTATCAGTTTAACCGTTCCTAAACAGGGCAGCATTTACATAATTGGAACAACGTTAATATCACTCATTTCATATATATATATCAGTCTTAAATGCAACTTGTTCTCTAGTCACCATTCTTACTCACTGCATATTTCGGCCATATACGGCCATCCTCACGGGTATTCTCTCTTGCCGAAATTCCTTCACTGTTTGTCAAAATTAGGTATTGTGGGTGAACGCGATATTTCGCAATTAAAATATATTGACCTCGATTTAAAATTAATTAAAACTAATTAACATCCCAGTGTTTTCCTTCGGTCATCATCAGTTCGTTTAAAGGATATTTGCTTGAGTATCCTTTGTTTTCTATTTCTAAATTGAGTTCTTTCTTGAAGTAAGAGAACACATTTCAGACCCTCGTAAAATGTCTGACCACTTAAACTACATACGTTCTGTAGCATCGAATCGAATATTTGGAAGATTGCTAATGGTGAACTGGTAGGAAATCAGAAAGATATTATCACGGCTAAAGCTAAAATAATTCGTACACTTTAGTCTAGTATGATGGAAACAGGAACAGTTTCCGAAACGTCCAACATACTTAGCTAGCAAGACTTAAACGCCTTTATTTGAAGTGAAAGATTCAGACACTATGCAGAATTTTTCTTTGATGAACGACGACAACTGAAGAAATTCTCGTTTAGTATGAACACTCTGTGGTCCGAGATTCGAATCTGAGTTATATTGAGTACCCTCTCGGAGTATACCTACTGTTTTGCTCCGAGTCGAATTCTCTGTGTTCGTGGCCGTTGCTGATGTCCTTGTCTGCGTCTATGCTTCCTTTCTTCTTGAGGTTGATGAGGTGCTGCAGGTAGTCTGCTCTGCTGACGTTGTTCTTCTCTCGGTACGTGATCACTTCGGTGATAATACGCTGGAAAAACTTGTACACCCTTGGAGTGCCAAGCCTTCAACAACCAAGAAAAAGTAACTTATTTAAAAGTTTTGACAATTTCATGTGTTTTACAGATACAGATTATTTTCTTTACATGTTTCAAAATTTGTCAGTACAAAAGTAATAAGTAAAGTCGCTGTGGATGTATAGATCCACATTTCCTTGACCTCGGCACTAGTTGGAGGTGAGTGGTCACCTTCACGCCCCAGCTGCTTTACTCCGGGGAAAGAGCTCCCTTTGTCCGTTGTATAGGAGGTTGGAAGAACCCCAAAGCCCGTCTAGACGGTGTGAAGAAGTAAAAATTATTGACCCTACCGGGACCCGAACTCCGACTCCTCGGTCGCCCAGTCCGTAGCCAGTCGCTATACCGACTGCCCTATCCCGGCTCCTATATTTCGTCAGTAGAGGCTATTAACTGCGCTGTTTCAACTACAGAGATTGTGTAGCATGGAGTATCAATGTTAAGATTGTTAGAAACGGTTAGTAGCCAGTGATATGGACGAAGGCGGTGGTTGTGTGTTTCAGACAATCATTCTACAACTCGCCTCGAAATACTGAGGAAATCCACGGAATATTGTCATGATATCATGTAGACCTACATTAGGCAGTGTTATAATTATGGACAGATATCAAAATCATTATTAGTACGGTTAATGAGAGCATGTTTTGCAACAGTTAGGCATAAGCATTTCTTCTAGGTTTCTAGGCTTAGGAATTTAGTGTATTCATGTTGAGAACTGCGATATGGCTCTGTTAACGTTTGTGGATATATTCCGATTTATAACCTGTCATTTGCATTTAATGAGTTTGTGAATTTTATCGAAATTTATTGGCTTTGCATTTCATGTTTTGTCTGGCCCTTGCAAATATCTTTTAGGATGTTCGGCCGTGGTCTGTTCTTGCCAGATATACCGAGAAATGTTAGACTAATAAGGATCTTGGATTATAAAACGTATTTCTTGAACGCCTGAATATGTATAAATTGGACAGAATGGATATGCAAGGTCCAGTAGATTCTAAAGGGTTCTGACAATGGTGTATAATACCCATAATTACTGGGTGTTTGGACTTTTCTCATCGTCCGATATTCTAAAGAGTAGAGAACACGCAGTTTCAAAACTGAATCTGTTTCCATCCTCGGGTGAGAAGGGGGAGAAGATACTTACTCAGTGGGGCCCTTTAGAAAGAGCTGATTGAGGTTAGCTCTTTTTAAGGGGCCCCACTGAGTTAGTGTCTGGCCCCCCTCACATGTGGACAGAGACAGATCCAGTTACCGAAACGCCGTGCTTTCTATTTTCTAAAATACCGGACGATGATAAATGTCAAAACACCGAATAATTCTGTATGTAAGGTCCAGGTATGATCAACAACTAAAGAAATTCGTTAAACTCGTCACCATAACACAATCCAGTTGGACTAAAATCCGCATTATATCACAAAATAGCATCCTACAAACCTCTTATATTTCAGGCATTCAGACACGCACGTAATTACGAACTTTATCGTAATTACTATAAGCACGACAGTTTAATAATTTCATATGGACTGGGTTCAGCTTCCAACTCATTAATACGTATATAATTTTATTTGCAGATTTTTACTTGATGATTATCAATATTTATAGAAACATGTCGTTACAATTAATCTACTATCTATTAGTGCTGTATAGATGGTTTATAAAACACACAGTAATATTATAAATGGTTACCAATTCCGTTCAGTGTGACTGATAAATTTGTTTTCCTTTTCTCCTCTTTAATCTTACATCCTTGACATGTTTGGGTCTTAGAGACCATCTTCAGAAGGACACTCGGTCACTATCAATATATACATACAATATCATTACAATGCCAGGAACATAAAATCTTAGCCTTTAACTAGAGCAATGTGAGTGAATACCTTGAAAAAAAAAGATAAATTATTACAATTAGTCTACTTATAAGTGTGGTTTAAAAAAGATTTTGTAAAATTTTTTGGAACCAGTTTGGTTCATGTCCTTTACGCTGCCTCTCTTTAAAGGAAGTTGAGTGTCTACCACCTTGTGGTTCCATTGCTTAATGAAGAGGACTCTTAGTGTCGTCCTGTTGTTCGGGCCGCGCTGTGTTGTTATACAAAATAATACTCGAGTGAATCCAAAAGGACCAAGAATTAAAGACTAATTTACTAAGATTTCAAAGCACTAGCTGT